GAGAATGAAAATAAATATGCATTCTCAGGGTCTTTTCTGATACTTTTCAAGATAAGGCATCATACACATGGATGAGCCTGTTGGACAAACACACCATATCCTGTTATATTATTGTCCAGGCTCTTCGTTAAAGTGTTTTAAAAAGACATTGCCCTGGATAAGTAACAGGAAGAGTAGGGGGGGTTAAAAAATAACTTTATTTTCCTGTTGCATAAAAGTGTCTTATTTTTCAGTCTTAAATCAGAAATTTGGAGTTTTTGCAGCACCATCTAGTGAGACTAAGGAGGTTTCACTCAACTTTTCAGAAACTACAGCCTGTTCCCTCTTTACTTTCCCATTTGTATTTAATCATAATCTCCTCATAATCTTTGGGACCAATGAGATGTGGAAGAAGGTACCTTCAGTGCACCCAATAGTCATTTTTACATCTCTTTCTGAACCACATGAAATCTCCCAGCTTTGCCAACTGCCAAGCTGAAAAACTGCAGTGCTTTCATCAAGCCTTGCTATTAATGAATTGCCTCCTAGTTAGTGAGCTGTGCCTCTGTGACCTGTACCTTGTTTAGAAAAAATACACTCTGCAAAGGGCAGATGTGTGTTTTAGGGGACGTGAAGAATGTTCTTAGACATCTTAGACAGGGATATCTGTCATCATTCCTACCAGGAAGTGTTACTGAGGATGTGTTCTATAGGACAACTTCTACACACTCAAATCTGTGCCAGACACATGCGAGACTCTGTGCAAAATATCCTTCCTGGCCCAAAGATGTTGCTGACAAACAAAACCCTGTCTGATTCCAAGCCAGCTGAGATGACACACATCTTTCCCTAAGCTTCTCAGCCTCTTAAAAGATTTCCAGTGCCTAATTATGATGAAAACTGCTTTGTTTTCCTCATCTATTCATTCTTTGTTAAAAAATCCTGGAGTATTTTTCACGCAACTGAGGAAATGTGCAGAATTAGAAGTATTTAAATATATTTCTCATACTACTTTTTCAAATAGAGGTTTTTCTCAAAGATAAAATAAATCTCCTCTCAGAACTTTCTGAAATTTTTCATGTCACCAAGAGCTGTACATCACTGACACCAAAAATATTAAAAATTTCTAAATAAAAGAAACTCACCTGCTTTCAACAGCAGATAAGCACATTTTTACAAGTTATGTGACGGTTGGAAAAATTGATCCCACTTAGGAAAATGGAAACAAATGACATAATTCATTACATAAAAGCTATGATGTTATTTTATGTTCTTATCTGTATCTGCTACTAAAACATAAATCTGCAGTTATTCCTCTCTTATCTGAAGCTGAAGAGTTTGTCCTCCACTTGCACAATGAAATTCTCTCCTCCATTAGGATTTCTCCAAGGAGCTGACAGAGTTGAGCTGCCTGCACCCAGATTCCAAAGATTTCTGTCTTCTGCCCTCCTGCTCTCATAAATGTCATTGCTGTTACATCTCCATTGCTGGAACACAAAGCATCACTGGTTTAAGTCTTTTTTAATTATCCTTGATTTTCCTTGATAACTTCTTTACAAAATTCCTCTTCCATAACTGCTTTACACAGGGCTGACTTATTTCATGAAGTGCAAGGGAAGAAGATTCAAAGGCTCAAATGAGGCAAAGTTCATATTGTCACTCAGCCCCTTAGCTAGCAGCTGATGAGATCCAGAGACTCTTGACTGTCCTCTCCCAAGGGATGAATGTGAAAGAGCTGAACTACAACTCTGAAATAGACCTGCCAGAAATACCTGCTATAAAGATTGTAGGTTTCCTCTCAAAACTGAGATATATAAAAAAATTTGCAGAGTGACTTATGACAGCCTGACATTGTCTCTGGGAAAACCAATTTGCAAAAACTGTTATTTTTACTCTAAAAAATAAAGTCCTGCTTTCTTGTGATAAGTATCTTTCTTGGCTATAAGCATCTTGATTTATAATTATTATTACATCATGTTTTGTGAAAACATTACTTTTTGGAAGTGATCCTACGGGATCTAGAATATGTTGATAAATTATACCTTAAAATGCCTTAGTGATTTTATATGCAATCAGTGGGTATATTAATTGCTGCCACCCAGTGGGCTCATTTGTAGGCTTTGGCTCACCATACTATAATTTAATACATCATTGTTTGGTTAAATGATTTCATCCTTTCCATCTGAAAGAGGGTGATTTATTTTCCTCTATCAGCAGCCACTAAAAATGAATGTTTCAAGCTACAAGCTTTGGTTAACTTAGAACATGTTGTCCTACAAAAATCTTTTGTTTCTTGTAGCGTGGGAACAGCCCTGTGGAAGGCAATTATACTTGAGCTTCAAGCTAACTCTGTGTGAGATAACCTGCTTTGCCTTCTGGGCCTACCCACAAAGTCTAAGCAAAGTACTCTGCTCTATTTAAATGACAAATATTCTATCAGAACTTCTACAAGAAGTTGTTAAACATGTTACATAGAGGGAATTCTTTCCTGAAAAGTGCTGGTGTTTCAGACCCCCAGGTAACTTGCACCAGGGTGCTTGTGGCCATCAAGTTATACACTTGACAGAGGATGTCAAAGATCCAGTTTGCAGTTTGTGTTCCTGACCTGCAGCTCCACTGGTGCCAGCAGCAGTCCCAGGCTCTCAGCCCTCCTCAGGAGCTGGCCTGGATAATGCCGAAGTGAATAAACTGCTTCTTAAATCTGGGCTGCTGTGTTAACAACTTCTACAATCTATATAAGTGTTATGAATAATGAAATAAGACACTGGCAATGACAGCACATTATTGAGGAGCTGTTAAGTGCTGCATTATGATTTTGTTTTAATGCTGCTCCTGGATGAGGGAGCTTGCATGCCTGTGCATGAGGAGGAGGAAGGAGAGGAGGAAAGCTGCTTAATATTCTTCTTGTTGGCCTATATTTTGAATTTATATACCTGTTTAATTTAAAGCATGTCACTTTCCAGCAGGACTGGCCATTTGGGAGAGGATTATGCTGCTCTTTATTTTTGTGGTCTCAGAGGTCTTGTTGGACTACAGGGTGCTACAACTAGTTGCCAACAGTGACAGAAAAAAAAAAAAAAGACAAAATAAACTTCTTGCAAGTTCCTGGGCTCCCCAGTCCTAATTTGTACTGTACAAGAAAGACACAAAGCTCCTGGGGCAAGTCCAGCAGAGGGGTACAAAGATGATAAGGGAACTGCATCACCTGTCATACGGGGAAAGGCTGAGGGAGTTGGGCTTGTTCAGCCTTTAGAAGACACAACTGAGAGGAGAACTCATCAGAGTATGTGGGTATCTGAAGGGAGCCAGGCTCTTCTCACTGGCAATAAGGCAGAGGCAAAGGACAGAAACTGTAACACATGAACATGAGAAAAAAAGTTTCTTATATGTGCAGTGAATGAGCCCTGGAACAGTTTGCCTGAGAGGGTGTGAAGCCTCCCTGCCTGAAGGTATTCCAGAACTGTCTGCATGAGTCCTGTGCCATGTGCTCTGGGATGGCCCTGCTTGAGCAGGGGGTTGGATCAGAGGGCCCCACTGGTGGTCCCTTCCTACCTGAATAATTCTGTAATTCCTTGATTCTGTAATCCTGCAAACCAAGGCTGTCCACCACTGTGGCTGACACAGCTGAGGTGGGGAGGAGCAGGAGAAGGCAGGGATGAGAACAAGCAGATTCTTGACTCAGAAGAGAGTATAGGTTGCTTAAATTGTATTCTGAATTTGCCCTACAATAAGCAGAAATTTGGGAAAGAAATGCACTCCAAGTGCAGCACAAGTGCAGGATGTGCAGATCACAATTTCAACCCTCCAGCTGGGGCTTCTGTGACAAAACCCAGTGTCCCTTTTACTGACCTTAGCCAAAGTACTGCAAAATAAAGTAATGCTCTGCAGGAATAAAGGTGAAAGAAGTTGGCCTCAGTGTTTTAAAGAAGCTAAATAAATCTACCACAAGAAATCCAAAGTATCTGGAGATTGAAGTAGAGAAGGGTATTACACCTTTATATGATATTGCTCAAGCTCAAGCACAGTATGGGCACAGAGGCAGGGAAAGAGATTTATTCCAGCAATGACAGTGGAACCACTTATATGGCCAAAGACACTGGGAAATAAAATCACCTTTATTGCTCATCAATGGTAAAAAAAAATCCTTTTGCTTTCTGCCTGTAAAGCTTTTTACCTTTGATGCTACAGCAACTGACCAATAAATCACATGGTAAATGCAATTTCCTCCCAGATTTTTAATATTTCTTCATTCCCTGGATAAGCCTCAGCTGGAGAAAAAACAAAACTCTCCAGAGTTTACCAGTTAGAAGTGTTACAATATTGATTTTACAGAATGTCCGAGATCCAGCTTGTGTTTTTTTCATCTGCTCCCCAAACAAGATACTGGACCAAAGCAGCACATCCTGGGGATCTCAGACCATACAGGAAATATCAGAAACTGGTAAAACTGAAGCAAAGTAGAAGGGATTCAAAACTTCCTACAACACAGGGAGAAGAAGATGTAGTAAGAAAGATGTTGAGGCCTTCACAGTTACTTCTACATCATCCTATAAATGAACCCTCTATTCAACTCTGCATTCCAGATCGTTGGCATCAAAACTGACATTTAATGATCTGACCATTTAATTTTTCATATGTCATGGCAGCCAAGTTTCACCAAAAAATGCTGAGACTCAGAAGCAGACCTCTTTCTTTCAAGAGAAAATGTGAGAAACAGCAGTGATGCATACTGGGACAAATAATTAGACAGCTGATTTGTATCCAAGACAAAATAAAGTAAGGACATTGGTCATCTTAGATTTATAAATGTAAAGTGAAATAGAGGTCCACTATCTGAGCTCTTCTTCCAGGTTCAAAACTGAGACAGACACAAACTTCTTGACTTACCTGTTCACAACTGAATTGTATTCTATAGGCTGCCAGGTGCCTGTGCTTGCCAAAGGGATGAAAACAATATCATATATGGCTTTGGTAATAACATTTCTCTATTTCTTTCTTTATTTTTCTTTTTTTTCCCACAGCTCCATTCAACCCCCCCAATGATGCAGACAGTATGGTCAAATTTGATGCCTATGGAGATGGGATAGGACGATACAACGTGTTCAATTTCCAGTTCACTGGAGACAGATACTCCTATGTGAAGGTTGGTCAGTGGGCAGAAACACTGTCACTGGAGGTAGACTCTATCCACTGGTCCAGGAGCTCCATCCCTGTCTCCCAGTGCAGTGACCCCTGTGCTCCTAATGAGATGAAGAATATGCAACCAGGAGATGTCTGCTGTTGGATTTGTATTCCCTGTGAAACCTATGAGTACCTGGCTGATGAATTCACTTGTGCAGACTGCGGGCCTGGAAAATGGCCCACAGCTGACCTGACTGGCTGCTATGACCTTCCAGAAGACTACATCAAGTGGGAAGATGCTTGGGCAATAGGTCCCGTTACCATCGCATGCCTGGGCTTTATTTGTACTTTCATGGTCATTGGAGTGTTCATCAAGCACAACAACACACCCCTGGTCAAAGCCTCTGGCCGTGAACTGTGCTACATATTGCTCTTCGGGGTCTTCCTGTCTTACAGCATGACTTTCTTCTTCATAGCCAAGCCTTCTCCAGCCATCTGCACCCTGCGCCGTTTGGGGCTGGGAAGTTCCTTTGCCGTCTGCTACTCTGCCCTCCTGACGAAAACGAACTGCATCGCCAGAATATTTGATGGCGTAAAGAACGGTGCTCAGAGGCCCAAGTTCATCAGCCCCAGCTCTCAGGTGTTCATCTGCCTGAGTCTCATTTTGGTACAGGTGGTGGTGGTGTCCGTGTGGCTCATCTTGGAGGCACCAGGCACCAGGAGATACACGCTTCCCGAGAAGAGAGAGACTGTCATCCTGAAATGCAATGTCAAGGATTCCAGTATGTTAATGTCCTTAACATATGATGTCATCCTCGTGGTTTTATGCACTGTGTATGCCTTCAAAACCAGGAAATGTCCGGAGAACTTCAACGAAGCCAAGTTTATCGGTTTCACAATGTACACAACGTGCATCATTTGGCTGGCCTTTCTCCCTATATTTTATGTGACATCTAGTGACTACAGAGTAAGTCTTTGGACATCTGTTTCCATAAATCATATGCAACACTTTAGAGGACCATGTCAGCATTCTCTAAAGGCTTTTGTTTCACTTCTTTTGTCCCCTGGGTCCCTTGCCAGCAAGATCTCTTTCAGTGTTACCAGATTTTGGCTTACTTCTAAGAAAGGTGGTCTCATTCCTAAAAGAATATGTGCAGTCAGAGCTGGAAGGGATTAGTACTGTTAGTCTGACTGTAATAGAGGCATAACATATGGATTAAGCATTCATTTGGGTCCATCACTATCTGAAGTCACAGTCCTAACAGAAAAACCCAGTAGATCGTGACCCAAAATTAATCATAATGAGTTATCTGGCAGAAATAGAGCTTAAAATAAAATCTGTGCTAACCAGTCTCCTTCTGCAAAAGAATCTGCTATTAAAACATGATATTTCCTTTCAAATAAAAAAATATAAGGATAGAATTTCAAAATTTACTATGAAACAGAGTTGTTAAAAAAACCTCAACAAACGTTCTACTTAAATACAGAACTTTTTATTCTTTCTGCACTTTACAAAACACATGCTCACTGAGCAGTAAATATTGTTCAGCCTTCACCAGCAAACTTTAGAAACATTAAACTGCTTAAACTGTCAGACAGTGTTGCAAAGCTTCAAGTTCAATAAAATCATATTTTTGAACAGAAGGAAATTGTCTCAGAAAAAAGATTCAGATCTGCTCCACTGGAAATCTCACAGTTATTATGATGTGAGAAGTGACTGTGGGATTTGGCCCTTGCAGCAGTTTTCAGAGAATTAGTTCAATTTTCTGCCCAGAAGAAAGGTAGATTACCTTAGGGGGGTGTTATTGCCAATAGTGTGTACATGAAATAGCATATAAAACTGAGGAGCTAATAATGTCAGTTAACTTACTTTTGGTGTGGCCACCCTGGAACAATACATTTAGTGCTATTTTACTCAGCTTAGGAAATGTACTGAAAACCTCTAGAAAACAAGGATAAGTAACAAATGACGCAGTGAGACATGCAGAGTGACAGTAAAAGAGCTAAATATATTTAGTCTAGACAAGAGTAAACCCAGAGAGACGTGATCACAGACTATAAATAATTTCAAGGCAACAAAATGAGGGGAAGGGATTATTCAGTCTCAGGAGAAGTTAGAATAACGAGTAATGGATTGAAGCTAATGAAGGAAAAGTTTAAGGAAGGCACTAGGGAACAGCTCAGGACACCCAAAGCAATCAGGAAGACAGACACAGGATGAAGGAAATATCAGTGCAGACAGTCACATGAGTGGGCAGTACAGACAGTAATGGCCAAGAGGAACATGACTTGATTGTTCAAGCAGAATTTTACAGCCTTATCTCCTGAGTGGAGTTTTTGAAACCACTTGTAGGCATTGAATTTATATACAAGGTTCCAAATAAACCAACTCAAATATTACAAAATCAGCAGAAAACGCTTTTAACATATTTTTGATACCTTCATGACAAGCCTACACTTTGAAAAGCCCGTATTTAATTTCCATGCAGTATCACAAGTTGACTCTGAATCAACTTGTGCCATCCTAATATAGCCCTAGTCTAGTAGCACCACCAATAAACAGCCTTAAAAACAGCCCCATTCAGCCTGGAATAATCTTCAAATTTGCTGGAGATACACTTGATCCCTTCATCTATGTCATTTATGATGATGTTGCATATCACTGCTCCAAATATGGACACCTGAAGGACACCACTTGTCACTGATGCCTGTCAGGACTCTGAGCCATTGTCCTCTGGATGTGACCATCCAACCTATTTCTTATTCATCTAACAGCCCAGTCATCAAATCCATATCTCTCCAGTTTAGAGAGAATGGTGCTGAGGGCACCTATCAAAGGCTTTACAGAATTCCACATAAATGAGATCTGTAGCCCTTGGAGAAGCAGTGTTGGCTGTCCCAAATCTTATCCCTGTTCTCCAGGTGCCTTAGCACAGCACATGGTCTAGTGGGATTTTCTCTACTCTGCCAGCACACCAGTCTCATCTGTGAGGCCAGGTTACACACTGAACCACTGGAGTGACCTGGATTAAAAGGAGCCCTGTGGGATGGAGCTATTTTTAACCCAAATCATTTAATTGATTGAGTGTATAATTATGCCAGCACAGCTGAGCTGCTCCAGGCAATACAAACCATGGGAAAAGCAGGGTGGGGGAAGAGGGCTTTGATAGTGAAAAAAGCAATTTGAAACTAATGAAAATAAAGGTAGCTTCATTTACTCTTGTTTTATGAGAAAACTCCTGTCTTGTCTTACCCATACAGCACCCAGTTCCATATTTACCTGACCTGACAGCATAGGTCTGTGGACAAAATGTAGAGGTAAAGCAGAATGTGAAGCCAAAGTGTTCCTTTCTCATGCAGGCTCTGTTGGATCTTCCATGTTTGCTCACCCTGTGAAAGCTGAGCACATTTCATGGTGTTTGCAACATCCATGTTGTGCAAGGAGTGATTATTAAATGATCACATTAATTATTCTCATTGATGACAAAACACCAATTGTGCTCAGTATATAAGAAAAGCAACAATGTCCATTCCCCACTCTGTTTTCCAATTTGCACTAATTATTTCTGACATTTCAGGAGATATGAGAAGCATTCCCACAGAAGAGGGCTAATCTCAAAGAACTGCAGGAGTATAACTAAGGAAAAATGAGCCATAGATGTATAATCATTCAAATTAAGCAGTAGAGTTTAACGCAATTTAATTCAACATCTTAATTAAGCAATCTGCTTGGAAGAAAATAATATAAACTGAAAATGAGGCAGTAAACTGGCACCTAGTTATACTATTGAATAAAAAGCATAAAAGATAGACAGTGCCAGCAAAGCTACACTAACAAATGCCCCAAGGCAACTATTCTAAAATCCTGCAGCCTTACAAACAATTCATTTCTGAGCCCAAAAAGTGATGTCTCAAAATCAAGACACTTTTCAGACCCAGTCTGAAAACAGTCACCAGATATTATCTTTACTCCAAATCACACCTATATTTCTGCAAGGGCTTACTCAAGTTCTCTGATTAGGGCTAGAGCTTTAGACCAAACTGGTTTCAGATGGATGCTTTGCATGAGATCCCTGATGTAAACCCACATAATGTACACTATGTGTGAACTGGTTCCCACTGCAGCCAACACTGCTCAGATATTGCATGACAAGCATAACTCTGATGAGGTTAGAGACCAAGGGTAGGAGAGAAAGAGAGCAGATCTATCCTTTCTGTGCTAAAACAAGGGAGAACATACTCAATCTCTCTGACATGCAGACACACAGGGCACCACCAGCACCAGCATCTCATTCCCATGATACTGGGATTGGGAATTATAAGGATGCAACAGACATTCACACCAGCCTGCACCAGTGTAAACCCCCAGGACTGTGGTTTGTGCTGTTATGTAGTAATGTTTCTAATATTTTGCATTTCAGAGCTTTCCATACTGAAACAGTGCTTTGTGCCCACTCTCTCCTAGGTGCAAACCACCACCATGTGCATCTCTGTGAGTCTCAGTGGCTTTGTTGTGCTGGGCTGCTTGTTTGCGCCCAAGGTGCACATCATCCTTTTCCAGCCCCAGAAGAACGTGGTCACCCACAGGCTCCACCTCAACAGGTTCAGTGTCAGTGGGACCGGGACCACTTACTCGCAGTGTAAGTAACAAGACTGACACCTTTCTGTGGGGTTGTGGTGAGTTCGGGTAAAGACAGAGTGGGCTGAACTATGTAACCCTGTGAAAGTGTCATTTCCTTTGTGTCTGGAGAGGAAAATTCATCCCCCTCGCATGGGAGTCAGCTCAGAGCCTGCTCTGGAGCTCACTGAAAGTTTCTGGCAGGCACTGGCTCCAGCCTGCTGCACACACCAAGCATCCCCTGTGTCTCTGTCGCTCTGGCAGTGAGACAGGAGCAGATTGCCTTGGAGTACTCCTGTCAGAGCAGCACACTGACAGGATCTGGGCCACAGCGCAGCGTGCTCTCAATGGCTCATCACCTGCACTCTGAGGAAAGGCTCCAAGTCTGCAGAAAATGCATCCGAGGGATGCCATAAACTGCATCTCTCTGCAGAGCATGATCAATAGCCTTTGTCAGTGCCACAGCCTGGAAAAGCAATCTGTGTTCTGCTGCAAGGACAACTCAGTTGCTCTGATTCCCTTCTTTCCCTTATCTTCACTCTCTTCATCATAAGCAGGTTCACAGATGTGATTTTGTTTTGAGGCTGTCACTCCTTTTCTGGGTGAGCTGCTCAGAGAGTTTTATGGATTAGAAAAAAAAAAAATAGGTCACATGTATATTTGTTCAGGTTTTTTTCTTTGTCTAGCTTAACTAACTGATCAAAGATGGGAGCTCATTCACAGAGCTCTCTGTACAGCATGCCCACCCTGGAAATCTAATTGAAAAGCACTCTACAACTGTGAAGAGGAAGGAAGTGACAGAGGAAAGGGGGGACACAAGCAAGGCTTTTCCAGCAAGTTCACAGTAAATTAGCCTGAGGTTTTTGAGTGCCACTTAAATTTCAAAATTGTCTCAAAAGCTTTGGCACTTCAGATTTCAGACAGAGCATGGAAGTAACTTGGCTATGTATCACGTATGCAGGGATTGGGAAGTGAAGGGATCCCAGCCATCCCTGGCTCTCCAATCCCAAAACACACTGTGCAGGGATGCCCAGGGTTCCTTAAAAGGAGCTCAGCCATGTGACTCTATAGGTCCCCAGTTTCCTCAGTCAGGGCTGCATCCAGTCCTGACACCAGAGAGCAAACACTCCTTGCTACTCTGGAAAATTTAATGACATGGCACTATGTGCCTGAAGTGCTGAACACTCCCAAAAGACCAATCAACTTCAAAAACTCTTAGAAGTGTGGTCCCTTGGTGAAATGGTAAGTCCCATGAGATTCTTTTCATTCTTTATCAATTTTGTGTGAGTGGTCTTTCCAAGTTTTTTAATACTATCATCCTATGGAATGAGCTTAGAAATAATTTTGATTCATAAATACTTTGTACTGGATTCTGGGTTGCATTTTGGAATTTTATACTTTTATTTTAATGGTTACATTAAAACACGTGCAAACACATGTGGAAACATGCAACTGAGAGACATCCTCAGTGCACATCTTCACATTAAAACCTGCATTTTCAGGCTTGCAAACAGCTTGAGGACATTAAGAAAAGCATAAAAATCCAGACTTACAATCTCTTATGGCTTCATTGTTTAGAAAGGTTGCTGCAGTTATTTACTTTTACTGCTTGCACCTAATTGAATCAGGCTGCTCCCCTTGTTGGACTTTTTAGACCATGGAAAGACATGGAAATAGGGCTAAAAGGTCCATCACATAACAAAGGAAACAGCCCTATAGTTTCCATTTAGGACAATTATTTGGGAAAATAACATTGTCTATCACAGTCACAATATTTCCAGGATGAAAAATCTTCCCTTACTCCCTTCCACTAATTTTCAAATTGCTTTAAATAAATTTCTATTATATTTCTTAACTGTTTAGTTATTTATAAAACTCCAAAAAGGTTGCCATTCAAATTGGTCCTAATCTTTGTCTAAAATATTCCTCTTATCACTTCTGGGGCTGTCAGCTTGTTTATATTTTGGTCTCAATTGTGTTTTCGTCATTCAGAAACTTCTTAATATCAAACTCATCAAAATTAGCTTTAGGGCATTCTAGCAACTTTGAAAAGCCAGGTTTTATGCATTACCAGAGCTCTAGAGGTCAGTGTTTTTCCCATCTCCATGGATTCTCACCTCCATTGCATCTCAGGGCTGCCACCACCTCTTCAGTCAGGAATGCCATGAGCATCGTGGCTCTTGAACAGCAAATAACACACCGACAGTTTTTAACACAGCTTCCTGAACCACAAAAACTAGTCAAACACACTGAGAAAAGGTGACATTCATAATGCTTTTGGGTAGTCCAAGTGTTAGTGTCAAGCTTTGATCTTTTTGATAGTTGAAGTCCGGACCAAAAAAAAAAAATATATATATATATTTAAGTCAAATTGAGGCAGGGTAAGAGTGTGCTTAGGTATATGACATGTTTTGAAATGTATATATTTGTACACATTGCTTTGGTTCTGAAAATTTCCATTTGGCAGCATGCTGTCTAAGTTCTGCTGCCCCAGTAGCATCTCACTCATTAGGATTTTCTCCTGTTTTCCTCTTTTATGTGCTTCAGCACCCATAAATCTTCACAGAGAACTCACCTTCCTGAATTCATAAGCACCTTCATGATTCAGACTAAGCTTCCACACACAGATGTCATTTATCCAAGTTACATCTGCATGGAGAATGGCACACAGAGCTCAGCTCCTCCAGGTGGCCTGCTCAGGGGTCAGAAGGAGAATTGAGCCTACTATTTATAGCCAGACTGCCAATTTTTTTTCCCTCTGAATTTATTTTCCCAGGCCTGGCTCCAAACTACACCTGGTATAATTTGATACAGAACTGTGAGATTAACTCCCAGTTGTCCAGCTGTGAGCATGGGTAGAGGAGACAATGCTCTCAGGCACGTGGTGTCATTCTTGGGGTTGCCCTGTGCTCAGCCAGGAATTGGATTCAATGGTGCTTGTGGGTCCCTTCCAAGCCAGGATATTCTGTGACTCTCTGATTCTAAGTGGCACACTGACAGCAAATTCAGATCTGCCTGTTCTTGGCTGTGTAGGCAAAGCTGCAAGGTCACCATGGCAGTGCCAGGCTCCTGCATTGTACCTCTGGTTCTTGGATTATCTAAGCAAAATGAGGGACAGCCAGGAAGAGGGAGATCAAAAGCATGAACTTGAGCCAAATCACAACTTCTGCTGATGTCACACTTTTGTCCTCGGTCTCAACACAAAGTGAAGGTGAAGTGTCTCTCGCATATCCAGCAGTATTCCAGGAAAGCCCTTGGCAGCTGCTGTAAGACGCAGAGTGCAGCTCAGAACCCTGCAGGGCCAGTGATTAACACTGCTGAGGTCTGTAATGAAAAGCAAGGTCTTTTGTTCTGTCTCAGGAGAGTTGGATGCTCGGTGTGAACACTTTACTCCACCCAGCAGAGTTAATAACTGCATCCCAGCACTAGAAGAGAGGTGGATGCTGTGCAGGAAGCCTGGAAACTTAAAAGGCAAGGCCACTCATTTTTCGCCTACCACCATATATTTCTGTCCAATTTTCATATCCTCCTGACCCAGTTACCATAGTATTTGAGCTATTCATGCTTGTCAGTGTGTTGGACTTCAAAAAAAAAGCCTGAAGCTAAAAAAATTCTGGTTAAGTGACTGATGTTCATGGAAACAAAATGCTTTTGCCTGTAGCCATACTGCAGTAGAACAGGGATTTGAATCAGGTTTCCTGAGCAGAACTGATTTTTCTATTTTTTTAACAAAAAGTAGAAATAGAAATAACAACAAGAAAAATTAAGGTCATTGTGCTGCCACATTATAGCCAGTTAAAAAAAAGAATACAAAATACAAATTATTTTTTATAAATCACAGACATGATGCCCTGTGGTCTTTTACATACAACAGTTGCTCCACACCTCTGACTCACAACACACATCCATATTGTGAGAGATCAAATTCCATTGGCCTGATCCAGAAGAGGGGCTCATTCTTGGGTCTCCTGTTTCAGGAAGATGTCCTGCCCTGTGAGCAGTAGGTTAGTCCAGTAGATGTCTCCAAATTTCTTTTGTTAAAGCAATTCTGTTTTCCATGAAATATTTATTCAGTCAATGAGAGTGAAAAATACCAACTGATTTGAAGAAAGAATAATTTTTCCTAAAAATTATACTGAGCATCTTTACAGAGCCAGTGTGCAACTGAAAGTGCAGCCAGCACCAGATGTGGAAGATTGAGCATGCCCTTGTCAGCTGCATAAATTTACACTGGATGATTGAGTTTACTAAGTCATTGCTTGCCATGTGTTTTCTTTGATGAAGGCATCACATTTCTCTGGGTCACCGCCACCATTAACCTAATGTATCTTTCAAAAAGCAGCTCTGGTGCCCTGAGCAGAGATGTCATTGAGCACCTGAAAACGCATTCCTGATGCCCAATGGATAGAATGGATAAAAGATGAACAACAAGCAGTTTCTTTTTAAATTAAAATCCACAAGACTTAAGCAAAATAGGGTAATACATTCTCTACTCAAAATACAAATACATTCAGAAACAGATTGTTAGGTTCAGTTGTCACTTAATAACACTAAAGCAATGAAAAACAGATGTATAAAATGTTATACCATGTAAACAAGTTTATCAGAATCTGGTTCTCACCTCTGTATGCTCTGAATCCTGATCCAGAACTCCTAGAAGTGAAGTGTATTATAGGCAGAAATTATTCTGGGTGAGAATTAGGTGAGAAATAATCTTGCTTTTAAAGTCAGTTATTAAAAAATTTCTTCACCCAATATGTTCTTATAATTCTTATTTTTATTAATTAAAATATCATTGACATAGAATTCTAATAGGGTAGATTATCTCCCAGATTTAAAACTACATGTATTTCCTTCATTAATGTCCGCTCCAGTTATGTGAAAGCTCAAAGGATCAGATCTTAGCAATTCTTGCCAATAAAACAAAAGATTCAAAGGTTCACATTTTTCTGCAGAGGTATTTTTAGCACTATTATATATGTATTAATTCACACTACCATGCAAAGTGCTACAAAGTGACACCCAGTGGCACAGAATCATTAAAAAAAATAAAAATAATGTATTTTATTCCAATGCTTCTTGGAGAAGTGTAATCACCCTCTGTGCTCCCAGTGGGCAGTCAGGTGAAATCAGTTTTCTTCAGAGGATGCTTCAGCCTGAGGTCTGAGTTGCCATTGCAGAGGTGCAAGCAGCATCTCCATCAGCTCTGCTGCTGACACAGGCAGCAACTCTTCACTGGGCACTTTGGTTAAGTGGGGTGAGATGGTCCAGACCAACACAAATTCTAATCCTGTGTGTTGCCCTTTTTGTTGTGCTGAAGTCAGTTGATTTTCCCCTCTCTTTCTCTTCCAGCATCTGCCAGTATGTATGTGCCAACCGTGTGCAACGGGAGGGAAGTTCTGGACTCCACCACTTCGTCTCTGTGATTGTGGCTCGTGGTTCAGTTCTTGAGTTTTTAGACTGTTAGGCAAAATTTTGCACATGTTGTGCACTCCAGAGAACACCAGAAAACAAAAGACATCCAAGCAAAATTAGTACCTTTTTTTAGAAACAGTGTAATAAATTATTTTTGAGGATTGTACAGTATATAGTGACGTTCTGGAACTTTTTAGACTGATTTTAGCCCTTCTGTTGTTAACGGTTGTAAGGGACATGTAAATAACCATGGTTCACAATGTGCATAGTCCTGCAGTAAGGGAGTGATTGTTGCAAGCACAGTTGCAATGTTAGGTGACTTCTTTCCTACGAATTTTTTTTGTAGCTCCTTGTTGTAATTAACTTAGACTGCATTTCTATGTTGTATATTACAGTTACCGTACGTGTAACAGATTGGTTTTCTCAGCACAAAACAGCAGTATTAATGTAAAGGCACCAATAATAAAAAGATAAAAGTTTTTCAGCATGGTTTCATTTTTGTTCCTTACTCTCTCAAGGTCATTACATTTTTCTAGAGAGGAGGTTAGGCAAAAAGGATAAAAAGTCTGGAGCGTGTGTACACAGGTATTTGTGTGTTGGTCGGTGCCTGTGCTATAAAATCCATATCACAATATATGTGCTTATGATTAATGCTTTTTCAAGGTCACGTAGAAATTCCCTCTTAAACCTCCCACATTATTCAAGCATCTCAATTTCTTTTTCTGTTATTAAAAGATAGGGTAATTTTCAAAAGTGAAAATGTCTAATTTCATCTTAATGAGATATTAGCAAAAAAATTTTGACTCCTGGTTCACTCATTTGGCATGACTAAATGCTGTCATGCACACAATAGACTGGTAGCATATAAAAACAAAGAGAATTTAGATTAGCTTGGAAGAAAATCTGTCACAAAATTAGCTAAGACTGTTTAATATCTCTATCCAAAACAAAGCTGGTTCAGCTTTTTCTTTGCATCAACAGTGCTGTGAAGGGTAATTGGAGCACCACAGAGACCAGAAAGTCAAAAAAGAGAAATGCAGGGAACATTTACACCCATCTCTGGGATAACCTCTGCATTCAAACCAAATGCTGCAAAACACACATACCACCTACTTAGACAATTGCAAAATACCTTAAAAGTCTGGCTTTTGAAACGGCACTCTTAAAGCTGCCCTCACTCTATTGAAAAAATCTGAAATCCTCTCTTCTGCCAGGTCCAAAAAGTCATTAAGGAAACAAACACACCTTTGATTAATGCCCCTGAGCATATTTACCTAAGGGCTTGTTCCCACTGATCTCATTCCAGCTGAGGTCAATAGCAAAATTCTCATTGACTTCAAAGGCAACACCAGCAAGGCTTGAAAGTCAGCCACTGTGGATACATGTGGATACAGGATGAACATGTTCTCTGGAGCCCAATTCTCCTGCATTTGCAGAGGTTTTCACACATTTCTGGAAAGCTGCAAGTCCTACAGGGCTGAACTGGCAAAAGAAGCAGCTGTTATTTGGAATGCGAAAATTAAAGATGCAGCTTCTTAAAATTCCTACTCAATGATGGATGCTTGTATTTTCTAAACATCCACATGTCCACCAGCAAAGACCTCTTGATGTCAATGCTTCCATGACAGAGGTAGTCATTTAAGCCTCTGCACCATGGAGTTGTCCAGAACAGGAATCCCTGTGACGTTCCCCAGGGTGGGCATAGACCAGCCCACCCTACCTGCAGAGCTCTGCATTCAGCTTCTTCCTCTCCACAACCTCTGGCATACCTGATGTTTCTGGCTTGTTTCCCACCTTGATGCAGGGCCTAGGGTCAAGTTTTGACAGTCAGGGAGTCTTCCTTTCCAAATCAAGACCACTTGAAACACCTCAGGTTGGGCAGCTACATTCATTTGACTTTGGAGTGTTCTTTTGTGGACTAAGAGGCTGGTCACAGTGTGACAAAAAATCAGAATATCTGACCATAAATCTGATGTCTCGTCTTTATGGAGCTCTTAAAAATGCCTAGGCCAACGAGAGTTTCTTCTCAATTTTTATGGAAAGCCACAATCAGGGTTAAATGCACCTCATCTAACACTCATTGTTTAAAAGGACTAAGTAGATAGCTACATCTGAGATTGTCAGGCCCTCTCCCTTTGTACTCAGTGGAAGGAAGTAAGCATAATTCCCCCAGCTTGTCTCAGGCAGACACTTCAGGCAGGGATGAAACTCTCCAAACAAAGGCGAGCACAGCTTGCTCAGATAACAGAGTTTGCACTAAAAATTAAGGCATTGTGTCAGATGAATTCCAGCCCCAGAATGAAAATTGACATTACTGAAGTTAATTTATAGCAGGTGATGATCTCACTGTGCTGGAGTTTTCATTCATTTTGATAGCACTATTGAGAAAATGACCCAGTGTCTGTGTCTGAACACCTGCTATGAATACTTAGTTGGCTTCAAACCACTTGCATGTGGGGTTTTCATACAAAAAAAACCCAACAACCAAAACATGCAGAGCTCTGGACTTCTATCCCCACTGAATGCTCCTGACATTACTGTACTTTATTTGGCTTTGTCTTGAAAGCTTTTCACTACTTTCCATTGGATGTCCACAGATGCAGACTGTTTGGTATTGCCTGATGAAGTAATCCTGTTTCAAAACACAGCAGAACAGAAAAGGAAAATGACAATACAGAGGCTTTCCACACCATACAGGCATAAAAACCTTTTAAGAAAGGGAATTGTAATTTTTTTTTCTCCGTTGCTGTCTCACATCACTCTTTTAATTTCTCTATTTATAACAGTTTTTGTACCCATTTATGTAAAACTTGAGTTTAGACTACAAACCTTTTCTAGTCTACTGCTCCCATCATATTTAAAGATTTGAGCAATTCACCTCAAAGCAGAAGGGGTCCTGTCACAGTTCCTCCCAAGTACCCTGGCTGTGAGCCTTGAGAGTAATCACACTGCTCTGAGCCCTGCACACTCGGGAGTAAAATGCTGAAATCAGAGGAAATGCTGTGAATGAGGGCAAGGCTTAACCCAGAATCTACAAGCATCTACCCAGCCTAACTGGAGGCTGAAGAAAACTTTAGTTTTTTATTCAGTACCTCAGCTCTCTGATAAAAATCACAATTGCAGAAAGGTTTGTGAAAATCTGATCACTTTTTTAATTTATTGGTAGAATAGAAAAATAAGACTCGAAAAGTTTATTGCAGGGCAATCTGAAATAAACAAGGTTTGTGGGTTTGGTTTCTTTTGTTCATGGGTTTTGGTGTGGTTTTCGGTGGTTTGATTTTTCTAGAAGAGTTGTTTGGTTTTAAAAATCTTTAATGAATTCTGAAAACAAGGCCAAAGTCTACTACGGAAACCCAAAATATTTTATTTTTTCTTCAAGCGATTGTTTTTCCTTAATTAATTGAACACAGCTGGTTTCACCCACAGCCAAACCAATTTAAAAATGAATTGTCTTTTCAAATTGAAAAATCAAAAGCTATTTAAAATATATTATGTCGTCCCAGAATGGAACAAATTCCAGAAAACAGAAAAAAAAGATGTCCAAAATATCCTGACCACACTCAGAAATTTCAGCTCTGTTTAAGGATATTTCCACTGCAATCTTTCACCCAATTAGCACAATTAGAGTAAGGGAGACCCAAACAAAGCCTTAGCTCATCAGCAAACACAGTCTGATGTCCTTGGTGCCACTGCCTACTCATTAATGCCTGCAGTCTGCAAGACAAAGGGCAGAAGCTGTTTATCCAGAGCCAGCTCAAAGCTACTCAGAAACACAAACACAGGCAAAACTGAGCTTTCTTACTGCAGGAAGAAAAGGCCAGGACCAGGCTGGGCTTGTTTTGCAAGAGGAAAAGGATGGAGTAGCAAATACACACCACAAAACCCTGCTGTGGCTTTTGGGTGCTGTTACAGCAGCAGCCTCACAGACCTTACAGAATTCTTCCTGATGAGCTCCTACTCTACAGATACAGAGGAACAACCAAAACACAATGGCAACCTATGATCAACTCTATTCTTGTGTCTCCCTCGTTTCTGCTGCACAAATTCAGTGTGGGCACATCCAGCCAGGTGACTGGGGATGTCACTGTACACTGTGACACACACTGCATATTCTGGATGACCTGACTTCCTTTTATTTCTACCCCTCTCCCCTTACATCTTACCAAAACAGCATAGTTAAGAAGTCTTCAACAAGAAATAACAAGGGAGTTCAGTGAATGTAGCACACAACAGGAAAGACTAAGAGAGAACACCACCAAAGATAAGCAGAACTTCACAGCAGTTCTCTTGAGGTTATCACTGACAAGAGAAGGCTCTGGGGACACCTCATTGCAGCCTTCCAGTACCTAATGGGGGCTTATTAAAAAGTTACTTTTTATATGGGCAGATAGTAATAGTCAAGAGGGAATGGTTTTGAACCAAAACAGGGGATATTTATATTACATGCTAGGAGAAAATACTGTGGGGGTGGAGAGGGACTGGAATGTGCTTCCCAGAGAAGTTGTGGAATACTATCTTGAACAGCTATTTAGGTACTCCATGCTTCATTACATGGACCAACCAGCAGCACTCCTTACTGAGGAGGAAATGTCATCCCCACTGGTGTGTCAGCATGATTTGTAGCTGCTCCTACACTTACACTGAAGTATCTGTGTTGGTCACTGCTGGAGACAAGTCAACAACCACTGGCTCCTAAATTGTGACACCTGCTGCTATCTGATTGTAATTAAGAACCTTTATTTTATACCTACTACTGGCTCTGAAAGGACAAAACCTGCAAACTCCCCACTCTACTATCAAAGAATCCCAGAACCTATTTTTCAAAAGCAAATAGTCAAATCCCTTCTTTGAACAAAGATTTTAGATCATTGAAGCTACTCAGTAATTTCCCACTGTGGCTCTAAGACACAGAGTTTTCCCCAAACCTTAATCAATCGTATTCTGTATTACAATCAGAGCCAAGCCAGAACACATTCTTTGTGCATTTCCCCCTCTAGCAAGCACTGTCAAAGCTGAGGCAATAACATTCTGCTAATTTGCCAAGAATTTATACATACACCACTCAAATGTGCTTAAGCCTCAAAGAGATTCAGTTACTTGACTCCAGATTTCAAAGAAAAGCATGCAAATGCAGCAATAAAATGTATTCCATTTAATCAAGTGAACACATAACAGACTGATTCACATTGTTTTATGGCATCAAATAACAGTTTTCTAATGTGATTCCATGTGGAAGAAAAGGGGGAGGTTGCTGTAAGTATATTTTGGCAGAGCACTAGAAGAGGTCACAGACAGCTGATTTTTTAGTGAACAGTTAAAGGCTTCCAAAACTTGTCTCTTATGGGAAAATGGAAACTTCCCCTCTCTACTACATCTTTAACAGAAAGAAAAGAATAGCAGAAGTCAGCTCAAATATTTCAGTTTACACTTACTTAATTGTTGGAAAATGCAGTTTTCTTATTTTAAGGTAAATTAAGTCTATGGTAT